TTTACAATCTTTTGTAACTGTTCTTCACTAACTTTCATTTATATCTTCCTTGTAGATACTTTGCTCATAGTTTTGCTTCTTTCATTCCATTTCTTGTGTCACTTTTCAGTCCTTCATAACTGCTGATTTTAAGGCTACACATATTTTTTACAAATCATGAATCCATTGGTTGCATTTGAAGGTATATTGTGATTGAATTATACAGCAATTGCTTTAGTTTTCCCATGCACATCCTTCTCTCCAACTTTCTGTCCCAGTCACTCCTTTTCAGTGAAAATCATTTCTAATGGCTCTTCCATCTTTTTTTTCCTCTTTATTTTTGCTGCTATTTTCTCCACTATTTCTTAAGATCTCAGGATTTTGTTTTCAGTGTTCCTCGTCTCGATTATTTACTTTTTAATTATTTCCTATCATCTTAGCATTTTAATCATACACTGATGAATTCCAAATATCTGGATAATTTACTCAATCATTTAATGCCACATAGATATTTTGTCAACTGTACATTAAATCATGCTTCAAGGTGCCATTTTCAATATAGACATCATCCCCCTGTGGATTTATGGGTGTTTTGTTTTATGATAATTATTTCACTGTTTAGAACCAATTGCTTGCCTTATTCTTTCATATCATGAACTGTTTATAAAACAGATTTTATTCTTTATTCTCCTTAAAGTTTAACATCTCTTGATTCATAAATGCTCAGTACTATGTAATGATACAATAAAAGTCCACTCAAGGCAGAATATCTGGAATATATTAGAACCATTCAAGAACAGATTTACTTGAGGGATTTTAAGCTGTATTCATTGGCACAGTTTTGAAAATTTAAGAAAAATTTTTGATTCAGAAATTAGAAGGTTTTCTCACTCATCTCTCCCATTTTAATGTTGCTTGATACAAACTGATTTGAGCATCTAAAATTATTAGTTTCTACTCTGAGATCAGGATCCCTTCTGTTATATTTTAATTCAATAGTTGAAAGTTCCTAATGAAGCATGAATTTTCTTTTCAATTAAATAAGTTTCTGTAGCAAGGACCAAAGAAAGCATGTTTTCCCTTTTGGTCTTCTGCATGTGAGAAAGGAACTTCTAAGCCTCCATTTAAACTTAACATCACAAGGATTTCCTCATTCAGATTGAGTGACTCAGGTTAAAAAAAAATTGGAACTTGTTTGAATTTTATAATGTAAAGAGAAAAGAAGCATCAAAGATTTTTCTTTGAAACAATCACTAATAACTGTGAATCTTTTGCAGAAAGATAGTGAATAAAACAAGTTAAAAAAAACTGTGAGTCTAAAACTTTCAGTAGCTATTGATGAAGACTGACCTTGTTCTATCTATCTATCTATCTATCTATCTATCTATCTATCTACCTATCTATGTATCTTTCTTTCTTTCTTTCTTTCTTTCTTTCTTTCTTTCTTTCTTTCTTTCTTTCTTTCCTTCCTTCTTTCTATCTATCTCTATCTCTCTATCTTTTCAGCCCTAGCAGTTAAACATACAGGCCATCAACATGGCCATTAAACTGGCATAAAATACCTCTATAGATACTGAAAAAACATACAGCTTCATTCTTTAACAAAGAGGAAAAATATATGGAAAAACAGCAAGCAAGAATTCATAAAGCAGCTTAGAATCAAGAATAAAACTTAATTCATTCCTTCTAATGAAAAGGAATATAAGAAGATAGCAGGAAAGAAATAAACAAAATTAACACTGAGAAATTATGAGGTATAAATAAAATAAAATAAATGTAAAATAAAAGTATAAAATAACAACTGAGAATGATTTCATGGGGAAAACAGAAGTGAATTAATTTTACTTGTGTCAAAAATTATTTTCATTCTATCCTTACTTTTTTTGCTAACAGGACATCAGTCTATTAAACCTCAGCAACATCAACATCACTTTCTTTGACACAAAATCCATATCTATTGGAAATTTGTGAGCACCAAGCACATGTTTCTGTGACACAATACTTAAAATGTGTAGAAAAAGATGCTTTTCACACAAAGGATTTGCTAGATTCTTTCAACAGATATTGATTTCACAGTTTTCAATGTGATTTTAGGCAACTGAAATATTTATATGTATTATTACAAATAGCATCTCCATTGGGGATATAACAGTTTATGACAGACTATTTTTCTGTTTTTTCAATCTATGTTATCCTCCAAGAACTATTATTGAAATGGAAATGTTTTTCAATATCAATCAAATCAGAGTATAAGAAATCAAAATAAGCTAACGACCTAGTATCCTGAAGAGATCCATATTTTCTCAACCTGTGCAGAATTCTAAAACACAATGAACAGAAAGATGATGCATTGTTCTTGTGTGCTACTCTTTATCAAAGGTTTACAGAACATTTCTAATATATAATCATTAACTCATGTCCGTAGATGTGGAAATCAATATATACAAATTTACAAAGGAATCAAGAAGTTGAAAGTATCATTAAATTTTTCAAAAAAAGTATTTCCAGTGCTTATGATAGTTATAGAATTCGTCTCATTTGCAGCATTTCTAGACCTCCATAAAATATCTTTAGGTTCTATGACTTACCCCACAGACTTGGTTTTGATTATGTAGCCACAGGGTGCTCAAACTTTAAGAAGCAGTGACAATTGCATGTTAATAGTGGGAGGGACAAGAAAGAAATATTGACCACGAATAAGATAAACTATCAGTGAGTAGAACAGAGAAGAGAGTAGATAGTGATCATTGGTGGACTTTGGTTGAGAACTAAATACCTAATAGAAGGTAGTGAATTATTTAATGGCTTTAAACTTCAAATTATATTATTTTGGTGGACATGCTTAGAATAAATTAGCATGGTTAGAGATTAAACAAGAAATTTTAATGTTAGTGTCATTATAGAATTTTATGCTCTAAGGTATGTTCATATGATATATTTCATATTCTCCTTTCAAAATTTCCATTTTGCTTGTCATAGAATTGGAACAGAGTTTACTTATCTACCCAAATAAAGATGCCAATGACAACACCAAATCCAAATATTTTTTTCTTATATATGAATTTTAAAGCTTTCAGAACAGAGTAAAAATTCTGAATAAAATTAATTTGGAAGTAATTTAATAAATTAATATGGCATCATAAATAATCTTATTAGGACTTTCAAAACTAATAACAGGCAAAAATATACCTTTAATTATTGTGTGTGTTAGATCAATTTCCTAAATTTCCATGTTCAAGTACTATAATTAAATTTATTTTGGAGGAATTTGTACATTTCTGCATTGTATTTTGTTCAGTTTTACTCTATCTTCTCAATCTCCTTTCTCCTCTTCAGAGTCTACTTTCTTGTAGAATATGCAATGATGTCACCCTTTTCCTTTCTCATTGTGTGGATTTGTGTCTTTTCTTTCCTTATTTTGATATATTTGGCTATAAGTTTGTCCATTTTGTTTAATCTTTCAAAAAACCAGCTCCTGATTCTTTGTGTTGTTTTTTTAGTCTCTATTTTATTACTTTCTGATCTAATCTTATAATTTACTTCCCCATAAGCTAGGATTGTACTTGTTTTACTACAACTTTGAAGTACATCATTAAGTTATTTACTTAAGCTTGCTCTATTTTTCTGATGTGGAAATTCACCACTATAAACTTTCCTCACATAATTCCTTGTATTATGTGCTACAGGTACTAGTATGGCATACTGATGTTTGATTGTAGAACTGTCTTATTTTTTTCCTTAACTTTGTCTGAGACCCATTGATTATTTAAGAAAGTATTATTTAATTTCCATGTGATTGCATAGTTTCTGTGGTGTCTTTTGCTGTTGATTTCTAGTTTCATTACACTGTGATCTAATAATATACTTTGGATAATTTTGATTGTTTCACATTTACTTAAGCATGTTTTGTAGGCTAGAGTGCATTCTATTTTATAATAAGTCCCAAGGACTGCTGAGGAAAATGTGTATTCTGTTGTTGGGTGGAACACTGTATGCACCTGTTTTGTTCAAAGGTTCAATTCAACTATGAAATTTCTGGGTTTTTTTGTCAGCTTGATTGTCTGTTAGTGGCAGTGGGGCATTCATTTCCCTCATTAAAATTTAATTGGTGTTTGTTTAATATTTTATGTCCACTACCGTTTGTTTTATGAAGTTCAGTGTGCCAATATTTAGTGCACAGATATTTAAAATTATTAGCTCTTCCTATTGAATTGAATCTTTATTCAATATGTAGTAGATTTTTTTTTGTCTCTTCTGATCAGTCTTCTCTTGAAATTCACATTGTCTACAGTTAAGGTAAATACTCATGCTTCTTTCCATCATTCTCTTGCATGAAATATTGTTTCCATCCTGCGACTTTCAGTCTCTGGTTATCTTTTGGGGTTAACAGAATCTGCAGGGATCCAGAAAATCACTGGTGATGACTTTGATTATAAATAAATAAAATGAAAAATTCAGAAGAAATCGGTAGATTCTTAGATACATAAGAATTACTAAGATTAGACCAAGAAGGTATAAACATTTTGAGTAATCCAATTTCAATCAATAAAATTTAAATAATATAAATATTACAAAGAAAAGCCAAGTTCCCATTGGATTCACTACTGGAATCTACAAGAATTTTAAACATCTAATACCAACACTCTTCAAACTCTTTAATGAAACTGAAAGAGCAGCAATGCTCTCAAAGGCATTTCTAGAAGCTACCATTCCCTGATAGAAAAGCCAGAAAAGGACCCAAACAAAAAAAAGAACTATAGACCAATTATTAATGGACATAGATACAGAAGTTTTCAGTAATATTTGGCATGTAGAATGCAGCAAATCATCAAAAGTATTACACAACAAAATCAACTAGGATTCACTCCACAGATGCAGCAATTGTTTAACATATGTATATTAATAAATGTAATACACCACATAAACAGAAGCAAGGACAAAATCCACAAGATCATCCTAAAAAATGAAGAAAAATCATTTGATGATATCCAACATGTACTTATTTTTAAAATCACTGAAGTGTGCTCAATTTCACAGCATATATACTACAACTTGATCAGTAAACAGAATATTAGCATAGCCCATGTGCAAGAATGGCAGGAAAATTAATAAAGCATTCCATATTTTTCAACTCCCAACCCAGATTCATGTTCACAGAAAAACTATCTTTCAAAAGTAATGGAAAAATGAGATACGTCCATGACAAAGAAAAACTGAAGAAATTTATGACCACCACACCATCCCGAGAAAGAATACTGAAAGATATTCCAGACAAAGATAAAAACAACTGCAGTTCCAAGAACAACAGCATAAAGAACACACCAGGCAGGGAAAGCAATGAAACAGAGGGGAAAAGCATGGAACTAACAGCAGGAAAATAACATCAGAGTGATACTTCAATATATATCAGTTATAACCATCCATGCAAATGACCTCAGTATGGCAATCAAATGAAACACACTGGCAGAAGGGATCAAGAAACAAGTTCCAGGAACATACTGTACACAAGAAACACATAGAATTCAAAAGAAATTCAGAGACTGAAAGACAAAGGATGGAAAACAATTTTCCATGCAAGAACCCAGAAAAATACAGGAGTAGTTATTCAATTTGCAAACAGTTTAAACTTCAAAGAATGATCAAAAGAGATAAAGTAGGTCACTATGTACTTGTTAGGGGAAAACTTCAAGAGAGAGAGAGAGAAAATAATCATAAATATGCATGCACCAAATATAGGAACATCCAAACTATATAAGACAATTATTAGTATACATGAAAATCAAATAAACAATAACACAATTTAATGGAGATATTAATACACAACTGTGATTAAGAGATATATCAACTAGACAAAAAAATCAACAAAGAAATATAAAAAATTAACCAAATCTGTGAACAAATGGACTTGGTAAATGTTTTCAGAGTGTTCTACCCAACATAATCAGAATACACATTCTTCTCAGCTGCACCTAGAATGTTCTCTAAAATAAACCATATACTAGCCACAGAACATGCTAGGTAAATGCAAAGGAATTAAAATTATGCCATGTATATTATATGATCATAGTTTAATGAAATTGGAAATTAATTACAAAAGAAACTGCAAAAACTCTGTAAATATATGGAAACTAAATAACACTCTTCTAAACAACCAGTGGATCACAGGTGACATAAAAGAAGAAATTCACAACTAAATGAGAATGCAGATATGACATACTGAATCTAGAAGGATACAATGAAAGCACCCATAAGAGGGAAACGTATAGTGATGAATTCTTACATCAATGATGAATTCTTACACAGAACAAGCAAAAATAAACAACTTCATATTACATCTCAAGATTCTAGAAAAAGAACAACAAAACAAACCCAAAACCCATACAAGAGAAGGAATTATAAATACCACAGTAGAAATTAAGGGACAATGTACACCAAGAAAGCAATACAAAGAATTAATAATTTGAAGAGTTGGTTCACTGAAAGAACAAATACAATTGATAAACTCTTAGGCAACCTTATCAAGAAGAGACTCAAATTCATACATTGAAGAACAAAAAGTTTGAAATCACTACAGATCCTATGGCAATTCAGGTCATGAAAACTTACTTTGAAAATATTTACTCTCATAAGATGGAAAATGCAGAACAAATGGATAATTTCCTATGAATTGCCAAAGCTCAGTCAAGAAGATATAAAAATTCTGAATAACCCAATGATCACAGAATGAGATTGAAATTGTAATTAAAACTTACCAACAGTGAAAAGTCTGAGTCCTGATGAATTCACTGCTGATTTAGTGAATATATCCTGCCAATACTCCTCTAAGCAATTTAGTGAATATATCCTGACACTACTCCTCAAACTCTTTAATAAAAATGAAACAGAAGCAATACTCCCTTACACATTCCTAGAGACAAGTATAACACTGGTACAAAAACCAGAGATAGATACAACCAAAATCAGAACTACAGACCAATATCCCTCAGGAACATAGACTCAAAAATTCTCAATAAAACACTGGCAAACAGAATGCAGCAAGTCATCAATTAGATTATATACCACAAGCAAGTGAGATTCATCCCAAGAATGCAAGGGATGGTTTGACATACACAAACTAATAAATGCAATATACCTTATGAACAGAACCAAAGACAAAATATCATGATCATCTCAATAGATTAATAAAAAGATTTGATAGAGTCCAGCATTCATTCATGATAAAAAAAAAAACCCTACAGAAAATTGGAGTAGATGTTCTCTCTATGACAAATGGGCAGAAAACTTCACAATAAATGAACAAAAACTGATGGCTTTCACTCAGAAATCAGGAACAAGACAAGGTTGTCCACTATCCCCACTCCTATTCAGTAAAGTTCTGGAAACATTAGCCAAAGCAATTAGACAAAAGAGAAATAAAATGAATAAGAATAGGAAAGGAAAATGTCAAAATATCATTGTTCACAGATAACGTGATACTCTACACAGAAGACCTCAAAACTTCCAGTGAAAGACTCCCATGGTTAAAAATAAAATTCAGTAATGTATCTGAATACAATAGTCATCACTCAAAAATCAAGCAATTGTATACAAACAATGAACTCACTGAGTACAAAATTATGGAAAGCACACTCTTCACAAAAGCATCCAAAAAAGGAAATATTTGGGAATCTATATAACAAAAGAAGTAATGGATCTATATATTAAAAATTATAGTACTCTAAAAAAAGAGAGAGAAGAAGATATTCAAAAATGGAAAGATATCCCTTGTTCATAGATAAGAAGAACTAACATATTGGAAATGTCCATACTCTCCAAATTTTTGTGCAGATTTAATACAGTCCTGTTCAAAATAGCATTAACATATGTCATAGAACTAAAGAAAACATCCTAAAATTTATTTGGAAGCAAAACAGACCTAGCAGCAAAAGCAATGCTGGGCAACACAGGCAATGCAAGAGTCATCTCAATCCCTTACTTGAAATTATATTACAAAGCTGATGTGAAAAAATTAGCCTGGTACTGGAATAAAAAACATACCTGAGGATCAGTGCAATATATTATAAGATGCCAACATAACTACAAACACGCTCAGCTACCTTATCTTTGACAAAGGGACCTAACATGTTCACTGGAAGAGAATCTCTTTAATAAATGGTGCTGGAAAAATTGGATTTCCAGATAGCAAATACTAACACTAGACCAATGTCTATCACCATGCATTAAAATAAAGTCAAAATGAATTAAAGATCTACATATTGAAACAGAAACACTAAATCTACTTCTCAGGAGGAAAGAGCCACTGACCAGCTTCAAGGCTTGGATAAATATTTAACTTCAGTGGGTCAGCTTTATCATCTCTAAAATTAGAGTAATAAAAAAATGAACTCCTAAATTCTCTTTTAAGACTAATTGTTTTAATATATAGACACTGAACAAAGTAAGCACTCTAAAATACATCGTTATTTCACTTATGTACAGCATAATGTGATTTTTAAAGCAATTTAGAACTGAACTGAGTTCAGGTTGTGGCCATTGGGTTCATGTTTCAATTGAGTTCAGAATTAAAAGAAGTGAATTCAGTTTTAATGCTTATTATGTTATATGTATGCACCTCACCAAACGTGTGTATTCCTGAATATCATCACCCACAAATGAAACTAAAATATAAAAGCATTTTGGGGTTCACATTAAGACAATTTTGTGAAAGATCTATATAATATGCAGGACTATAAAACTTAGTAGAAATTTTCTCTATCACTTTCATGTGTATCTCACTATTAAATTCTCTCCCAATCAAACCACATTATCCATATTTTTGGATGAAGTAAAAGCTCTGCTCACTATTACCCAATTGTTGCCATTATGCCCTTTAGTTGATTCTGAGTATTATTCTCTTTAGTTTGTTCTCACTCTCTATAAATAATTTACTACTTGTGTGAAACTGATAAAGATGTATTCTGAGGTATTCTTGAAAACAGTGTAGACTTACTGATAAAATGGAATAAAAATGTCTTCCTGGCACACTGATAGCATTACTGAGAATCTATACTCATTAGACTATAGTGATATCAGACACTAAGTGAATAACTGTGCCTATATTGCATTAACTAACCTTTGTAATAAACTATCCATTTAGTAAAAGCAAGTAAAATCTAATTTCTATGAATTTCTGACATTCCTATGAAAAATTCACCTCAGCACAAAGTTCATGATCTTATTTACCATGTAGTAACTTTACTCTCGAGGATTAGATTCAGTAACATCACAATATTTGGGGTAAATCTTCCTGGTAGATTAAAGAAATAATAGTTTTCTTTCTTTTTTGTCAATTGTGATGGTTCATGTCTAGAGGTACCCCTAACAGCCTCATGCAGTTTTAGATGGGCCTTTTTGCAGGTGGCAGACTCTACAGGATGTGATTGATTCATGATGCAATGCTAGGATGAAGGGTGCTGGATCAAGAGTGAGTGATTTTTGGATCAGTCCACTGTTTGGATTGATACAGCCCTAGTCCCTGTAGACTTCATACAACTAAAGGGATAGAAAGAGGCTTGTCTTCTCTCTTCCTTGGCTGCCTTTATTGTTTTCTGCTTGCCAGGAACTGACTCTCTTCTGAATTGACCCTTTGCCACGCCACCCTGGGTTGGATCCAGCCTATTATGGGCTGAAAACTCTACAAACTATGAGATAAATAAGTCTTTCCCGCTTTAACTTTGGGTTTCACGTATTTTGTCTCAGCAACAAATGTAACTAAGACACTAACTTATCTCTAACCCTCCCTTTTTATAAGACTCCGTTTATTTTTCTAGCTAGCAGTTTGGTAGGCCATGTCCAGAACAAGTGATCATTCTGATGATGATGAGCATAAAGACTGTAGAGCTGTGGAGAGAGTCATTCAAGTATGTTCAACTGATTGGTCATTATAAGGCATATACCTGCAAAGATGTGATCATGCAAGGAAATTTCTAAAACTTATGTTCTGCAGCAGTATTGTATGCCCTGTTATGAACTTTAGCTTTCTAATAAATAGCTTTCATGGCTTTGTAGGTGTTTACTTAGTAAGCATGTTAAGTTAGCTATTCTGTTTTGAAACTATTGATTTTTCTCTGTATTACCTTATCCCATTGT